CACCCAAACCCACCCCCCACCTGCTCCCCCAGCCCTCCCCATGGCTACCCTGCCCGGCCCCAGCATCCCAGTACTTTAAAAAAGCCCTGCAGTCACCGGCTTTAGCAGCAGCGATCAGGGCCTTTGGGGGCTCATGGCAGAGCCCCCCCCACCAGGCAGCACAGGGCAGCAGGGAATGCCCTCCACCCCCGACCGCCTGGCACCTGCGTGGCAGCAGTCACATTGCACAAGTGCAGTCTGGCTCAGCAGGGTGCCGCACACTGTCCCAGAGCTGGGGTGGCTCCAGCAGTCACCCAGAGCTGGGCAGTGCTCAGCCTGAGCGGCCCCAGCTCCTGGACAGCACGTGGAGCCCTGTAGCACACTGCCAAGCCACACTGCACCCGCACAATGCGACATCTTCCGCACAGGTGCCAGGCAGGGGAGAGCAATCCCCGCTGCTCCACACTGCACAGGGCTCTGCCATGAGCCCCCAGAGGCCCCGATCACCACTGCTGCAACCAGCGAGTTCGGGGCTTGTTTTTGGGGGGGTTTTTTAAGTGCCGGGCAGGGGGTGGGGGTGGAGCCCCCACTACTGACACCTGTTCAATTCACTCTGAATCCAAATCGGCCAAATTGAATCAGGACAGAGACTCGAATCATCAAATCGAATCACCGTCCCTCCGAATCAGCTGAATCCCAAGCCGAATCAAATACTTGCTGCTTCGCACAGGCCTGCCCTTAGCCTTCTCTTGTACAAACTAAATGCAGACTCTAAAGCTTTTTATGGTAAGACAGAGGTAGCATGTCAGACATTCACAGCGCACAGCAGATTGTGGGGGGATAAACAGCACTGAAACAGAAATGGAAGAAGGCAGAGCAGCAGATTGGGCATGGAGAACAATGTAGGAAGCAGAAAGCAGAGCAGTAGATCAAGTATAGGCAGGAGTTGCACTCAGGGAGACTACATGGCTAATTTGTGTCATGTCCCCTAAAAATGTTGACCCCCCACCACTGTAAGGCCCGTTCTGAACCTCTTTCAGTTTTTCATCTTTTTGTAGCACGGACATCAAAACCACACCGTATTTCAGTACCCATCTTTCTATTATTCTCCCTTTGAGTAATGCATGTAAATCCTATTATTGCTAATGTGAAGTCAGTTCACAGAACAAGGAAACTGAATGTCCCCATGATGAATCAACATTCCTGTGTTAGTAAAGCAACCAGGATAATTGCTAATTTTTTTATGATAGAAACGTGCAGTACCTTATCTCCTCCAACTAAAAAGAGGTCTACAGCAGCTATGTTAATGCCATGTTTTTCACAGAGCCCAGATAACATCTCCTTTATTGAGAATCCTGATTTGACAATCATTTTACAAGATGAGCCATCTGGAAGGTTTACACAGCAGTGTTTTGAGGATCTCTCTCTCTCAGATACAGATGCAGGTATTCTAGATGCTTCAGACTTTTTAGAAACAAAAATTAAAGTTAATAGCCAAGAGAAAATTAAGAACCACAAGCTATTCAAAACAACTTAAGTCAGGAAACACATTTTTAATAAAGTTTTATGTTTCTCTACCCTTCCAAGTATTTCAGCTACCAGGTAAGTTTAGAAAATATATTTCAATTTAAAAAAGACAGAAACGCATTTTGCGCAAATTTGAATTTACTTCAAAAGCAGTTAAATTTTGGATAGTTTTTGCTTTCAGGGAAATTGTATAGAAAACAAAAACATCTGGATCCTAGTGCATGATAAAGAGTTATCCCTGTAGGGTAGAGTAATTGGTCAAAAATGCCTAAAAGCTAAATATGAGGTTTAAACTAATTTCTAGATAAGGAGCCTTCTACATCAAATAATTACCTTTTTATGTAATAAATCACTATGACTTCTTAAATAGCATATTATGAGTTTACTAAAGGTTTTTTGTGAGATAAAGAGTGCCTCAAAAATAAATTCACTCCAAATAAAAACAAAATATACTTCTCTTCCACCTTATATCTTTTCTACCTTGACGACTATTGGCCAGGTTCATTCATGTGCTAATCTGGACTTCAGCTGCCCCCAAGAGACCATTTACTCCAGGGAAAGGCAAGTGTCAGGACTATATTGCCTTCTCTCTGGGCTTTGCAGAAAAACAGCACCAGCAGAAGCTGCTGGCGATGCACTGAAGTTGATCAGCATGAAATCACAAAATGTTATCTCTATAAACACTTTTTATTTTAGACTACATTTAAATAATTCCCATCCATTCAGGAACAACTTGCAACTAGGGGCTGATTGAATACAAGCCTACTAAATCACGGGTTTCCTGTAGAGATGGAGAACCTCTGTCTCCACAGCATGCACTGAACCTACAAGCCACACATCCATCAGGAGGCATTAGAGAATTGGGCCAGTAAACACTTGCTAGTGGACAAACAGATGTAATGCCACTTAACAGAAATCACTGCAGTAACCTAGTTCTTTCAGTGGCCATAATTCTGCATTTACAGCAATTTGTTTCAATTATGCTATGGTTACATTTACTATAAAGAGAAAGGAATCTTAATAAATACAAAATATCAAAAGTATTTGGGCATATTTATTTAAACACTGAAGCTGGAAACAGATGCCTTCTTTAGAGAGGAATCAGCTCTAACATCATGTTATGGGTGCATCCGCAAGTCAGTCTCCCCACTTGCAGATGCAGGCTCAGTATCAGGGTGAAGTACCCAGGGCCCTTTTTCTGCAGAACTGTGCCCCTGAAGCCAGGGCAGTTCTTGTCTGGGGCTGTTGGAGACGTCAGCCACAAAAAGGTACCAGTAATTACTACTAGGTTCATTGCTGCCACAAAATTTAAGCACTTGTGGGGCAACAAAGGGCTATGACGTCTGTTCACTTAGATTCTGTGCCACCATAAAAAAAAATTTAATGTTGATACAAGATCCACGCTTGTTTGTAGTCTCAGGGTTTAAAAGGGCTCTATCAAGAGCTTTTCTTAGCCCATACATAGTATAGTCTTTTCCTCTCCATTGTTTGCAACACCTGGTAAGCAAGATCCATAGATTCATAGATGTAGGGTCGGAAGGGACCTAAGTAGATCTTTAAGTGCGATCCCCTGCCCTGGACAGGAGAGAATACTGGGCTCATATGACCCCGGCCAGGTAATTGTCAAGCCTCCTCTTAAAGACCCCCAAAGTAGGAGCCAGCACCACTTCCCTTGGAAGCTGGTTCCAGATCCTAGCCACCCTAACTGTAAAATAGTGTCTTCTAATATCCAGCCTGAACTTGCTCTCAAACAACTTATGGTCATTATTCCTTATTACTCCAGGAGGTGCTCGGGTGAACAGGGTCTCTCCCATTCCCTGCTGGTGCTCCCTGGTAAGTTTATAAACGACCACTAGATCCCCTCTCAGCCTTCTCCTGACATTCACTTTAGGTGTTTCCAACTTAATTTTTACATGCCGTGATGTCTAAGTACCTGACCCCAACAGAAGTCAAAACTCATGGCAGAGATGGTATCTTTTATTAAAACAAATAGATATTTGCAAAAAATACATATTTTTTTTTTTTATTGCAAGCTTTCGGGCACCAGCACCCTTCATCAGGCATAGGTGATTGCAAAGATTGTAAAACTTCTCCTGGGTAACTTCTGCTTTAATGTTGCAATTCTGGGTAACATTTCTATCCAGGAGAACCTTTGCAATCTCTTATGCCTGATGAAGATGAAGGGTGCCTGTGCCCAAAAGCTTGCAAATAAAAAATAATATATATATATTTTTTCAAATATCTAGTTGGTTTAATAAAAGATACTACCTCTGCCACGAATTTTGATTTCTGTTGCCTCTAAATCAATACAGCTACAACCTGGATACCTAACCCCAACACAGAGTGATTCAAACAAACTAAGCTATGCACCTACATGCCCAATAGAGTAAATGGAGTGAATCATGCACATGGACTTAAGAGAACCCTGACACAGAGCCAGCAGTTGCCTTGAGCTTGCCAACAGAAAACATTAAATGGGAGGTACATTGTATTAACTGAACAGAGGTGGCAGCACCGATCTTTTATCTAATAGGCTAGGAGCTAGAGCTTAATGGAACCATATCATGTAGGCTTATCCTATGATATTTTAGCACAGTGGTTCTCAATTGTTTTAGACTTAAGGCACCTCTGGTCAAAATTAAGGCCCCCTCCACATTTGCCATGAGTTGAACAGCACCCCATTTCAAAAGCTAATATATTTATTAGAGTACTTACCTTCTTGCAGTTGGGCCAGGAGTGTGGACTGGGAAGAGGCCAAGCAGGGAGAGCCTTAGCCTGTCCTTATCTGTTTTAATCCTCACACCTGGAGCCTGATCCTGCCCTTATCTGCTTATCTCCACACACTTCCTGCAGCACCCCTCAAAGGATCTGGAAGCACCCCAGGGTACCCCAGCACCCTGGTTAAGAATCACTAATTTAGGGTCACCACTTGTACTATAATACTATCCTTGAAAAAAGATTTATTTTTTAAAGTATTTATCCATCTGCCAAAGGATTTATACAGGGCCTTCTGACTTAATATTCTATTTATTTTTATAAGTACAGTAAAAAGAAAATTGCATAAAATTTACATTGGTATACATGTAAGCATTTTGAACAGTACTGTAGAAAACTGGGGATATTATGGACTCCTGAAGTAATAAGCAATCCACCCCTCCGCGCCCCCCCCTCCCCCTGCACATACACCCTACGTGATTCTTAAAAGCTGGCCCTTACCAGATCAAGGCTTGCTGATGATGACATAGAGCCCTGTGATTCACGTCTGCAAGATAATCCATTGGCCTGAATAGAATCTGTATGTGGGAAAATTTAGTGATAAGTAAAAAGGCCTGGGTTTACTATTTGTACAGAAAGCAACTACAAAATCTCATGTTATCTGAGTAAAGAATTCATTTGCTGATCTGAGAAAAAAATGTCAACTCCTCATACTATCCCTAAGTTGAAACAGTCTTTAATTCTGTTATTTCTTGTGTATTTAACACTGTTTGCACTCATGGCTTTTTATAAACTTGAAAAGGCTAGGTCCCTGTTTTTGAACCTTACTATCTATATTTTAAAATGACTACCAGCTTGTAATGCCTTAAAAGGCACATAACAGACCCCTTAAAAAAAAAAGAGACAGAGGGTACATCCACACGTGAGGCTACATTGCCATAATCAATGCACTGAGGCGAAATAGTGTCCATAGGCATAAACCATGACACCGCGACTATGTCACCGTAGCAATGCGCTCCCTCATAGCATGCTGCTGTAGTGATGTAGTGCCTAAAAATAACCGTGCACAGTGCACACAGCACAGTACGGGCTGTTACTGCACCATCTTTTCGTACTTCCAAAGGTGTAAATTACTAAATGACGGTGCAGTAACAATGGCACCATGGTGGCACATGTAGATGCAGCCATTAGCATCCTACAGTAGAACACCCAAAATCCAAGGCCATCAGACAGTCCTTAATATTGCATACATGATCCCACTGTATTTTTAAGGACTAGGCCTTAAATCAATATAAACAAACAACAGACTGTTATGGGTAAGTGGCAAGGAAGAAGAAACAGCAGTAAAAGAACATGGATTTAATGTAGCTGATGACAGTAACAGTAACAATTTAATCCAATGGCTATTCCTGAATTTGTTCCAACTTGTTGGACAAAATGAACTATCTTTGGATTTCAAGATTTTTTTCCACTCTGTCCAGCAAAGACTACTACAAGAGGCTGGGCTTCTGTGCTTTCTTTAAACAGGCTGTCCCTTAGGCTTTAATGCAGTTATGGGGGGAAAAAACCCTCAGTTAAATGCATTTATGAAAAAAAAAAACCCTCAATTAGATAACAAACCTACAGAGAAGAATTCAAGGGTCTTCATAACCAGCAATGCAGGAGCATGTGGATGTGTAGCTTCATGAATCAAGGAAAGATAGATCTACCTGGCACAGACCTTGAGAGGTCATCTAGTTCAAGCCCCTGCTCAATGCTGGATCATCCTGCTTTTCAGAGTGACCTCAAGAAATCAGAGGATTGAACCAAAAGAAATCTCATGAGGTTCAATAAGGAAAAGTGCAAAGACCTGCATTTAGGACAGAATAATCCCATGCACCAGTCCAGGCTGGCGACTGACTGGCTGGACAGCAGCTCTGCAGAGAAGGACCTGGGGGTTACAATGGGCAATAAGCTGCATATGAGTCAAGTGTGCCCTTGTTGTCAAGAAGGCTAATGGCATACTGGGCTGCATTGGTAGGATTGTTGCCAGATCAAGGGAAGGGATTATTCTCATCTATTCTGCACAGGCGAGGACACATCTGGAGTACTGTGCTCAAATTTTGGCTCCCCACTACAGAAAGGATGTGGACAAATTGGAGAGAGTCCGGCAGAGGGCAACAAAAATGCTTACAGGACTGGGACACATGACTTATGAGAAGAAGCTAAGGGAACTGGGCTCATTTAGTTTACAGAAGACTGAAAGGGGATTTAATAGCAGCCTTGAACTACCTGAAGGGTGGTTCCAAAGAAATCACAGAAGCCAAAGAAATCAAGGGCTGGAAGGGACCTCGAAAGATGGAGTTCAACTTCCCTACTTTGGGCAGGAATACTGCTGAGATCAAATGATCCCAGCAAGGTGTCCGTTCAGTCTTCTCTTGAAGATTTCCAAGACTGGGGACTTCACCACTTCCTTAGGAAGTCTGTTCCAGATTCTGGTCACCCTCACCATCAATAAGTTTTTCCTCACATCCAGGAGTAATGGCCACAAACTCCTGGAAGATTAATTCAGGATCAATATTAGGAAAAACTTCTTCACAGTCAGGGTGTCCACACTGGAATAAGTTCCCTCCAGAGGTGGTGGTTACCTTGCTGGGGTCACCTGACCCCAGCTATTTTTCCTGCTTGGTGCAGGGGGCTGGACCCAATGATCTTCCAAGGTCCCTTCCAGCCTTACAATCTATGAATCGAAGCTAAAACCATCCTCTAACAGTCTATGGCCATTGCTCCTTGTCCTCCCCTGGGGTGCCCTAGTAAATAGTTTTTCTCCCAGCTCCCAATATTCACCCCTTGCATACTAATAGATGCCACCAAGTCCCCCCTCAGTCTTTTCTTCCCCAGGCTAAACGCTCCCAGATCCCTTACTCTTCCCTCACAAGGTTTGTCTTCCAGTCCCTTAATCATACTTGTAGCCCTTTTCTGGACCCTTTCAAGATTCTCCACATCTTTTTTGAAGTGCAGTGGCCCAGAACTGGACACAGTCCTCCAGTTAGGGACTCATCAGCACTGAGTAGAGAGGAAGCATCACTCTTCCTTACCCCTGCTCGCAACACATCAGCTAATGCATACCAGTATCCTATTAGCTCTGTTGACTACAGCATCACACTGGCGGCTTTTGGACATCCCTGTGATCAACCATAACACCAAGGTCCCGTTCAGCCATCATGCTAGCCAGGACATCTAACCTATATTCATGTCACTGATTACTTCTCCTAAAATAAGTACTCTGCATTTATCCTTATTGAACTGCATCTGGTTCTGCTCCACCTACCTTTCCAGCTTGTTCAGGTCTGCTTGGATCCACATTCTATCCCTAGTGTGACTGCTTTTCCCCATAACTTAGTATCATCCAGAAACTTGGCCAGCATGCTTTCCACATCCTCATCTAAATCGTTGATAAAGACATTGAACAGCACAGGGCCAAGAACCGAAACCTGCGGGACACCACTAGCCACCTATCATCAAGACAATACAGACTTGTCCACTAATGCTCTCTGGGTTTGGTCCCTTATCCAGTTCCCAACCCACCTGACCATGGACTCTGCCAGCCCACAATCCCCCAGTCTTTTTTAATACAAGCACCATCCTGTCAAATTGAAGACATTCAGCTGCTCCAGGTTCTCCCTTACCAGCTCAACACTGACTGCTGGTTGGCAATCACACCCCCCACATCCATCCAGTAGTCGACCAGGTGGGCCACCAACATTCACATGCAGGAACATGGACGCAAAGTATTCATTGAAGAGTTCAGCTTTCTCCTGACTGTCTGTTATCAGCTGTCCTGTCCCATTCTGTAAGGGCCCCACATTTCCTTTGGTCTTCCTCCTGCTCCCTATATAACTAAAGAGGGACTTCTTATTGTTCTTAATTTCAGTCACCAACCTGATCGTGGTTGTAACCCTTGCCTTCCTTATCCTCTCCCTACAAGTACAAGCTATACTTGTGTATTCCTCCTTAGTGACTACCCCTTGTTTCCACTGTCCAAAAGCCTCCCTTTTCTTTTTTAAAGATTCATAGATTTATAGAAGTAGGGTCAGAAGGGACCTTGCAGATCATCAAGTCCGACCCCCTGCCCTGGGTAGGAGAGAAAACCAAGCTCAAATGACCCCAGCCAGGTAGATGTCAAGCCTCCTCTTAAAGACCCGCAGGATAGGAGCCATCACCACTTCCCTTGGAAGTTTGTTCCAGATCCTAGCCGCCCCGACTGAAGTAGTGCCTTCGGATGTCTAGTCTAAACCTACTCTCTAACAACTTGTGGCCATTATCCCTTGTTACCCCAGGGGGCACAAGGGGGAACAAGGTCTCTCCCAAACCCTGCTGGTCCCCCCCTAGTGAGTTTATAGATGGCCACCAGGTCCCCCCTCAGCCTTCTCTTGCGAAGGCTGAACAGGCTAAGGTCCCATAGCCTCTCTTCATAGGGTCTGCCCTGCTGTCCCCAGATCATGCGGCTGGCTTTCCTCTGGACCCTCTCAATGCTGTCCACATCCCTCCTGAAGTGCGGCACCCAGAACTGAACACGGTACTCCAGCTGCGGCCTGACCAGTGCCGCATAGAGAAGGAGGATCACCTCCTTGGACCTGCTTGAGATGCATCTTTGGATGCAGGACAAGGTACAGTTAGCCCTACTGACCGTGACCACGCATTGTTGGCCCATGTTCATCTTGGAGTTAAGAATGACTCCAAGATCTCATTGTGCTACCGTGCTTTCGAGAAGGGAGTTTCCCAGCTTATAAGTGTGCTGCTGGTTCCTACTGCCCAAGTGCAATACTCTGCACTTGTCAGTATTGAAACCCATCATATTTTCATTAGCCCACCCCTGTAACCTGTCCAGGTCCTGCTGTAATCTGTCCTTCCCTACTAATGTGCCCACCTCACTCCAAATCTTGGTATCATCAGCAAATTTAAACAGGCTGCTTTTCACCTCGTCGTCCAAGTCACTGATAAAGAAATTGAACAGTGCAGGCCCACAGACCAAGCCCTGGGGGACTCCACTGCCCACTTCCCTCCAGGTCAAAAAAGACCCGTCCAACACTACCCTCTGAGTATGACCCTTCAGCCAATTTGCAATCCATCTGACTGTGTATACCATCAAGTCTCCTTCTCCTTGTCCCCCCTGTATCTTGACTCACAGGGTCTCAAATCACCCTATTCTTGAATCAGTTTGGGTCTCTGAGGAGGCATACTGCTCCTTTACATAGAGAGTTACATCTCCTCCCTTTTTCCCTACCCGATCCCTTCTGTGCAGCCTGTAGGCCTGTGTGGACACAGCCCAGTCATGCGGGCATCCCACCAGATCTCCGTTACTCCAACAAGATCATATTCCCTATTTGCTAGCAGGAGTGCCAGTCCCTTGTGCTTATTACCCATACTCCTAGCATTTGTGTATAGACACTTAAGTCCCCCATTGGTAGCCCCCCATTCCCCACCACCCCAAGATTGTCCCAGCCTCTCAACACATCCGTGACTGCCCTGTCTATGTCCTTCCTGCTTGGCTGTTCCCTGGCTTGCATTCCCATCTGTACACCCATTCCCAACACACCTAGTTTAAAGCCCTCTTCAGCAAGTCAGCCATCCTGGAAGAGGATGGAGCTAGACTGTACTTGGTGGTAACGGATGACAGAACAAGGAGCAATGGTCTCAGGTTGCAGCAAGAGAAGTTTAAGTCAGATATTAGGAAAAACTTTCTAACCAGGAGAGTAGTAAAGCACTGGACCAGGTAACTAAGAAAGGTGGTAGAATCTTCATCCTTGGAGGTTTTTAAGACACGACTAGACAAAGCCTAGGCTAGGATGATCTAGCTGGGGATGGTCCTGCTTTGAACTCGGGGTTGGACTAGATGATCTCATGAGGTCCCTTTGAACCCTAATTTTCTATGACTTCATGATCCTGGTCTCAAGCATTCCAGACAAGAGTGCATCTAGCTTACTGTTAAAATCTTCCAGTGATGGAAGCAGGTGAAGCTTTAGATTCCTGGACATCCTGATTCACTAAGGACAGAATATCAGAGTAAATCATCTCCAGAATATATTTCTTCCTAAGGAAATTCAAGATGCACATTTTAGAATAGGATTTGAGAGAAAAAGCCTCTGCTACTCATGAAAGGAAAATTCATGTTTTAACTGCAGAACTCAAAACTCACTACAATAATTTTCTGATATACCAACCTATGCTGTGTAAAAGGTGTTTTGAGGGTTTTTGTTTTGACCAATTTTCTAATTGCTGTTCCACAAGATGAAGCATAAAACAGTAGACAGCCTACAGAAATACAGTGGGAAGGGTCCTGTAAAGCACTACCTACCTTCAACAGGGCAGTCAGTGTGACTCAGACATCTTGCATACAGTAACTGTTTGAATGGGAGGTAACAGCTTCCATTCTTAATATGTCTGATCAGAAACTAAGCAAATGAGGACAGACCTCAGGGTGAAGTGCAGCCAGAGCTTCTTAGTCTGTTGGTTATGTCAGATGCTTTATCTTTAGAAATTGTCCTATCAGCCTCAACAAGGGGGAGAGATTCCAAATTTGGATCTATAAAAGTTAGTCCATAAAGGGAACCAAAAGGGACAATGAAGCTGCAGCTAAGTCCTCTTGCATACTGAGATGTCTGACTGCTCCACGGGAGCTGAATGTGCTTGACTATAGAAAAAAGCAGCGTGTTAACTGAATGGGAGGATGAGATCCAGCTTATCATAAGAATAACATTGTGTAGGCAAAAAAGCCTCAACCTTAGAAATTAATAACACCTGAAGAAGTAGGCTGTCACCTGCAAAAGTTTATGCATCTCTGAACAAGTCAGTTTCTCTAGGCACTCTGCCCTGCCTTCTGCCTTGAATATTGGTGAAATTGAATTCAAGCAACTGCAAGAAATCCCACTGGGCCACATTTTCAAAGAAAAACATTTAATTTAACAATTTCTACCTATCTTTTGCCTATATGCCAATGCTCATTTCTATTTTTTCTTATGATTGCCTTGATAGCAGCCCTAGCTGTTGTGGCTCTTGATATGACAATTTCCCTCTGTGTCAGCTCAGCAGGAAATTAAAAACCTGCTCAATGGGCCTTGCTTTACACTGAGGTTTAGATTTCCTGCTACATGCTAACAGTGTAAGGAGTCCTGTTGTTGAAGCAACTATGCAAAAATGTAAAACTTGGAAACTCACCATTTTGGTAATCACCATTTTCTTTTTTCTTCTGTGATTTTCCCAGACTCTTACTTCTTGACCAGGAGAAAAATGTTCCTTTTTTCTTCTTCTCTGCATCTTCCTCTCCAGATTCTTCATTTAAGGATCTTCCAGACTTTGATTTTCCACTTAACTACCATGAAAACAGTTAAAACATTTGTTTAACTGTAAATGCAACATTTACTCCTGTAAATGCAAGGGTTCTCAAAACTCTCCTAACGTGATCTAACATGTTGGGAGAAAGGTTGTGTACTTAATTTTCTCTTCACCAGTTCATCAGTGTATGTGTCAGTTCTCCTGCCATTAGCAATCAAATAAGACTCGAAAGGAAAATATAAGAATTGCTTATAATGAAAATACTGTGAAAATAATGCAGTGTAGCACCTAGAAACAAGAAGGAATACCAAGAGAATATATCTAATCATACTTCCACAGGCTACTGATAGTCTGTGGCCTATTTCTAAAGAACTGATTTAAAAGCAGCTGCAATTTACTTGATTGTAAAAAATAGAATTTTACATCAGTACAGCAATCTTGCTAGTCTTGATATACAAATTAATATTAAATTATTGGATAATGTATTGCTTAACCAGCATTTACAGCACCAATTATTGATCAATGATGAAAAGCAGTAAGGAAGCAACTTTTATAATATTACAGCTACATTTCATTTTGATTAACATTTATCTTTTTAAGTTATTAATATGTTCGTTAAAAAATGCTAAATTAAAAAAACTATACGTTAATTACTGTATGCTGTAAAGTATAGTGCCTCATATGAAAATTGTTACAAGTTATAATTTATGATTATAATAAAGGAATGCACACTGTGGTAATGTTTTCTAGTTACAAAGACAAAACAAAACTGTTAAATGATAGGTGGTTGTGAAAATCAAAATGAGTAAAGCTGTGATTACCAAACAAATATTACAATTTAAAAGTTTATCAAATGCCTTTGCTCTCAATTTTTTTATTTGAATTTTATAATAAAATAAACACAGGGGTTGTAGCCATGTTGGTCTAAGGACATAGGCAGACAAGGTTCTTTGGGTGAATCTGGTATCTTTTATTAGACCAACTTAAATAGTTGGAAAAAAATTTCTTATCAAGCCTTTGAGTTTAAAAAACCTTTGTCAGGTTGAAAAAGCATCTGCAGTTGGTGTGTGTTCTTCCTGGATGGAATGAATAGCAAAGAAGCCAGAGGCTGGTCTGCATGCAAGAAAGGCAGTCAGTGAAGATGTAAATTGAGGAGTCAGTGGGTGAGAGACAGGGGGAGGTGGAAATGAAGGACGGAAATGAATGTAGGAGGTAAACAGTGGAGAGGTACCTGGGGAGTCAGATATCAGGCAGGTTATAATGTGTTATAAATCCAACATCTGTAGTTAGTCCATGATTTTTTGTATCCAGGAGGTAGATAAAATAAAGTTCATAGGCTCATCTGTGAAAAGTGTTTTGTAAAATTCCCTTTGAGGATCAGGACTGAGAGATTGGAGAGAGAGTGATTTTCTTGTGAGAAATGTGCCCCCACAGGCAATTGGGTATTCTTGCCTTTAATAGATTTCCAGTGTGCGTTCATTCTAGTGTGCAGTTCTTGTCTGGTCTCTCCTACGTATTTTCCATCTGGGCATTTGGTGCGTTGGATGAGATATATTACATTTCTGGAGGTGCAGCTCTAAAATCGAGGGATGCTGATGGTGATGTTGGTTGTGGCATGTATAGTAATTATGCGGGTGGTGTCCATAGCTGTGGGGGCACATTTCTCACAAGAAAACCACTCTCTCTCCAATCTCTCAGTTCTAATCTTCAAAGGGAATTTACAAAACACTTTTCACAGATGAGCCTATGAATTTTACTTCATCAACCTCCTGGATACAAAAAAACATGGACTAAATATAAATATTAGATTTATGATACATTATAACCTGCCTGACATCTGACTCCCCAGGTACCTCTACACTATTCCCCTACTACTTTCATCACCCTGCGCCCCCCACCCATGTCTCACCCACTGACTCCTCAATTTACATCTTCACTGACTGCCTTTCTTGCACGCAGCCCAGCCTCTGGCCTCTTTACTCTTCATTCCATCCAGGAACAGAACACACCAACTGCAGAGACCTCCTCAGCCTGACAAAGGGTTTTTAAACCTCAAAGCTTGCTAAGAAATTTTTTTCCAACTATTTAATTTGGTTTAATAAAAGATACCAGATTCACCCAAAGAACCTTAGCTGCCATAATAAGATAAAAATTTTCAAATAACTTGAAGGAGTGAGGCTTAAACAGACCAGAAAGTTTAAAAAGTAGTATTTCCACAGATGACATGCAGCCTATCAGTTATACTTGCTTTGCATATAGATTTTTTTTCCTTATTTCATAGAGGTAAAAGATGTGCATTATTATTTCTTGTGGACATGTCAGGTTTATTCAAGCCCTCTCTCTTTCCATGGAAAAATGTTGCAAAAATACAACTTTCTATCAGGGGCTCAAATCTTACTGTATGACAACAATGTTCAGCCTTTTCATTTTGAAGCCTATATTTAACAGAAATGGAGAAATAGTACTAGACACCAGCAGCAAAAAAGCTCAATCTGAGAAGTCTGCTAGTGTAAATGAATTTGAAGCAAGCAACAGAGCTGGCATACCTGGTGTTGCTTTTACACCAATTGAAACAGAAGGAATAACAAGGATGGGAAGCACAAGGAGACCACTGTCAGCTAGCACAAGTTTAACCAACCCTTAGGCTACGCTAACTTGTGCAGGGAACAAGAATCAGGCAGCTAAAACTTATTTCCCAGATTTTCTTCTGCTTCATCTCTCCAAGGTCATGGGAAAGAGAAAAGAAGCAGCTCTTTGCCACCTGTTCCCTTAGGCTCAGAGCGAGTCCATCCTGTCCTGTTTTCTCTAGGGTTTCCACAGGTAAGCAAGAAAAAGTTGCCAAAATGATTTTGTCCTTTCCTTTCCCTCCTTCCCCATTTCACCACAAGGCCAATGACAGGGTTTCCAATCATTTGCAGCAGAGGAGGGGCAGCAGCTACACAACAGTCCCTACTTCCTACCTTTTGCAACAATTGTAATATAATGATCTTAGTTTTAATTCAAAAGTACAGGATGTGATTCACATATCCTATTTTCTTCTTAAATAATTATCCTGGAAGAAGTTTGTCACTACCGTTTTACAAGGATAGATTCCAAGAATAAGAAAATAATTTATTTTCCATCCTTATACAATAACTGACCTTTCTGGTAGATGTACCAGAATGATATTTTGAGCCACTGGTAGTGGTATTTTTTGAGATGTAGACATTTGTCTACACGGGCAATGACTGATTCTACGAAATCACTTCTCCTACGTGCTCTGAGCACTCCTTTCAGATAATGCTAACTTTCATTATTAACTGTAACTGAATTAATTGGTTACTTAGAGGGTTTTTATCTTAATTTCCTAATATTCATGGAATGAAAATATATTATGCATTCGCTGAGAACCTGGTTATCTCATTTTCTTAGTAGCTTATGTTATAAATCTGATGAAGAACGTATGGATTCAAAATAAAAACAGTGTCCTGAGGTAAACTACAATTCTGCAGTTAGATCATTTTGTCAGCATTAGTAAGTGCAAGCATTTTTATTGGATTCTATACATTGGAAAATGTTCAGCCATAACAAAGAAGTTAGTTTTCAGAATACCCAGAATTTAATCAAAAGGTAACCTTTTTTGGTGTGGAGATATTGGACCGCTCTGAGCTGAAACTATGTTTAGAAGTAGGGCTGCTGGGAACACGCTGTGGATCAGGAAGAGGGCGACCTTCCACTTCAGCCAGAATGCATTCTTGATAGAGTGGGGATTTCAGAAAGCGAGTATAGCTGTCAAACTTCATCAGGTTAAAAATCTAAAATTACAATGCAGTGGTTAATGGCTATACAATATTAAATCCTAAAATTTGCAAGCACCACTCATAACACTAAACTGAAGACTGATATAGGGGTGGCATTAAAGTCAATGGAATTTTTAAGTAAACAGGGCTTGGCACTTTTCTTTAAGAATAAGGCTTTATTATTATACAAGTGCCAAGTAAAATCAAAATAAAATCACCTTGTAAAAAGAAAAAAAACGAACATATTTCTTAAAAGTTGGAAGGGAACAAAATAAAATTGTTGAAGAAGTGGGAGTAAGAGACTTATTCCTAACCATAATGTAAATGCAATCATTTGCTGACCTCAGGTACAGTTGGTGAAATTACTGAAAGGTAGAGCACATGCGGTTATAAAGATATGCTTGAAGAGTATATTCAATATAAAAAATACAGGGTAAGCCTTATAAATTAATTGTTGTTGAACTCAAAGAAGAATAATGCTTCTACATCCTGCCTAAATGTTGCAAACTATGGACAGGAGTTTTTGGTAACTGCTGTGATAACAGGGAATCAGTCTGAACTTCATAGTGTCACAGATGTGTTGTTATTGTTAGGCTGTCAGACAATAAACAAACATATGGACTTTGCAGCTGGCGAAAAGCCTTAACCACAAGCACAACAAAAAGTCCTCCCTGCTATACCTAACAGCCTTTCCTTGAACGAGTGAAAATATATGACATATAGAATTAAATAAAATATATACCATGTTTACTTGACTATAAGACAGTGTTTTTTCCCAAAACAACGTGGGGAAAAACATCCCTTGCATTACACTCAGAAACAAGGAAATCTCACAAAATACTCTGTCTATAATTATATTGTTGACAAAAGCAGCATGTGCTCAGTAATGGAAGCAAACTATCAAATTGATTAAATGCAACTAACAGACTATAAAACAAGGCACAAGCTGGCCAAATATGCTGATGAGAACCTACCACAATGATAAGATAGTGTAACCCAGCTGAATAAGACATAGTACTGCCCGTTGTGCTTAGTCCCCACATTACTGACTCTTTTTTCAAGTCATAGTGAGCCACTACACTGAAATCATTTTTACTTCCTTTTTGCTCTTACAGCTGAGGTGTGTCTTTCTTTCCCATTTCCAATAAATCCTGTTTTTTAACCAGCCTTAAATGTCTGGCAAATATCAAACCTGCCCCAGACATTTTACCCAGAATCCCTCTCTCACCCCCTCTCTCAGCCCCATGCATATGATTAGCAGGGATCCTAGTTTTCCCGATAAAAAAAAAAAATTTAAAAATAGCAAGTTCTCTGATAAAAACCCCAAAATCTGTTATTAAAATTAAAGGCCCCCCCAAGCCCC